ACAAAAGTTAACTTTTATGAAAAGAATCAAATATTTCAGAGTCTCGAAATATCTTTCGAAAAGCAAAAGTATATAAAATGTGAAGGAACTACAAAATGTATGAATACATCAATACAATAAACTAATACAGTCCAGTCAATTAAGAAAAATCATTAAAAAAGACAATAGCAATCTTTCTAACAGTTCTGGCACTGTTGTCCGGGGATCTGTCTTTATTAAAAAGGGGAAAACAGTGAAAAGAATGACCAGACACTGATACACATCTCGTACGTGAAATTTCCTTGTTTAAAAGACAACAGACGAACAATGGACAATTGTAAAGGAAAAAAGGACAAGCAAAAAAATTGTGAAAGGAAAAAAAAAAGACGAAAAAGAAAGCAGTACATTTCTGTAGTCCACAAATCATAACACAGATAAACACATAACGCTATATGAAAATTAAACTTCAATGTCTCTTCGATCCTGTCCATGTAAAACTATTTAATTTTACTGCCGACTTTTATTACGGCAGACATTTTCAGAGGAGTTGAATGTGCATAATTGTTGATGGAAAGTAGCTGAGCAGTTATAAGTGGCATATTTCAGGCCCAAAATCTACTACACATTTTAGTTCCGAAATCTACTCCAAATTCTAGGCCCAAAATCTACTTCATATTTTATGTCCAAATTCTACTTGATATCTTATAAATTAATAGCTGAATGCCTTTTAACACAAATATCACTAAGTCATTTATTACGTCTTAACTAAGATTGTCTTTTGTGTATTCGTGTAAATTTAATGTAAAATACATTAATCTAATTTGTTTTTACAAATGTTAGATTTGTTCCTCAGTTAAAATGTAAACATAGGAATCTATCGTGACAAAATTGAGTAAATTTAAAATGATACAATTCAAGTAGTTACATGGTACACAAATCAAAGAACAGATGATATCCAGTGATACCTCCTCGAGCTATTAACTATATAATATTTGACGAATAGCTAATATTTTGTACGCATTTTTGCAAGATAATGGGAAAAAAATATTGGCAATATTGAGTGGACTTATTTTTGTATTTAAAAAATCTTATGCCATTTTTCTCTATTACATATACTTCTAGTATCAAATTATTCTCTATTCCTTTTTTTTTACTCATTATTTTTCATTTTATTAACCCTAACCAGGTCCTCATGCATCTACCCAGATATTTTTTTTCAAATATGCAACACATGGTCCAAATTCATCAATTATCGCTTACGTACATAAAAAAATAAGACGACAAAAATATATTGAAATGCATCGCTATCCTTACCTTACTGGTGACTGATTTATTGGTGAATCTCTACACATGAATCCACAACACCTTGTAAGATAGACAAGAACAGGTAGTTAACGTCAGAACTTTCCTTTTGTCTCTATTAAAAATCAATGCATGATAAGCAGGAAAGCAACTTTTATAACTTAGACTTAACTAAAATCAGCAAAATTCAAATAATCTGTTTACAAAAGCTTCGATCCACTATGACATTTGATCTGTTAGATAATATTGAATTATTTGTTATTGAACGTTTCACAGTAGCCTGGGCAAAGCTTTTTTAAGACATAGATAGGGTTTAGAATGTGATGTCTTCCCGCTGATATCATGAATCTGTTACCTGCTCATTTAAAGATTTAATGACAAAATCTCACGCTTCCAAAACATTTATCTTTCAAAATGACAAAGGTTTTGATTAAAACTAGTAACAAAATGTTAATCTATTATCTACTTCTATACTACACTGAAATGCTCGTCTAAAACACATTTGTATAATTAATATTTGTAAAATTTAATGTCGAAGTTCAAACTTAATGTCGTAAAATATACAAGTCTGTAACAGAATATCTCTTTGCAATTGACTGTAAAATAACAGCCGTAACATCAAAGCAGGTACATTCGGCACAACATTTTAATAACTGTGCATAAGGGATGAGATGTAGCAGATTTTTTTTGCCTGTCAATAATAACAGTCTTCGCGATAAAAGGACATTTTGCAAGTGCTTTTCACCAATAACAAGCTCAGAACGAACAGTATTTTTATATTTGAAATTTAGAATGACTTGCATTAATAAACTATCAATAAACTTTCAAACGTGATGAATATCGGTGTGTTTGTTTTAGTCCATTAAACACGTAGTGCTGTTTCCTGTCTCCCAACCTACCTAAATGTTCATACCTACCCAACCACATTTTTTGACATTTTTAAGCACCGTTTAAGCTATATATATATATAGTCCAGACATTTTTGGTTAAGCACTGGTCACGACCAGAATATTTCCATTTTCAGTCTTATGTATAAAGAATAATTTCTAAGATGAAAGTTATTTTTCCTACCTACGCATTCTTTTGTGTTTGCCATCAACCAGGAAACAAATAATATTAATTGTTTTACCTTTACATATTGTGGTTCTTGCACTGTCAATTCTTTTCGCTTGAAACCCCTTTTTTTCTACGAACATGTAAAACATTTAACATCGGAGTAATATTATACTGGAGTGAAGTATCCGTGCCGGTTAATCCTGCAATTTGATTGGTCACCTTGGCAGGGAATATGAGCCAATATCCCCTGTGAACAAAAACGAAGATAAGAATGGCAAATAATGTTAAAATCATGTCACTCCAGTACAATATAATTGTTATTCGGGCTTCACATGGGATATGGGCTCGTATTACTTCGCCTGACGGCTCAGGAGATATAAAACACTGACAGGGAATATGAGTTTCTTCTATCGAGTAATACTTAAATATTCTTCCGTTGGATATTGATGATTGATTCATTGTGTTTAACGCCACTTTCAGCACTATTTACAATATCATGGCGGCCAGTTTGTATTGGTGAAAGAAGCCGGAGTATTCGGTTGGGTATTGATGATAGAACGAAAAAGACTTGCAAAGTCCTTTGACAACTTACAGTGTTTTGAATGGTGGATATAACTCATATCAGGTTAAAGATTGAAATCCCCACAAACTCAGATCATTACCATTCATGCATTGCAAATTGCATACTGGTGATAAAAAATCAAGTATCTCGTAGGTCATATTCATGATTACCAGAACTAATTTGAAAGAAAAAGGATGACTTTAAAGAGGTATTGCTAAATTTCTTCTTAATTAGTTTCCGTATGAGGTCAAAACTCGATCGCCAAAGTAAAAAAAACCGCCGTGCAAATTGATAGGACATTTGGCGAAACACATTGTTTGTGACGATTGTTGTATATTAATGCAAATTTTACGCATTTCCAAAATTAATTATTATGCACGACCAAGAAGATTAAATAAGATCTAAAAAATAACAAGAAACTCAGGGGAAATTTAGATCATAAATTATTGGTCAACTGAGTTCATTAGTTTTTAAAGTCAAATACATTTTTCTTCAATATCTCAAACTTTTATTTTTTTATTTTTGCAACCTCATTCAATTTGTCAATTGCCTTTAAAACTATTCCAGTTTGCTCTCAGTCTATCGGATGTTAAGTCGCCTACTAAAGCTGATATTAGATTTTACTTTTTTGTTGCAAATCAAGGATTCCTAATTAGTATTTTGGCTCGGGGTATTAAGTTCCTGAGATGTTCCAAAGGGACATAACTGAGTCCACTCATACTGTATGGGAACAAATCAAAAGTGTATTGGTTAAGGATGGTTGTCTCGGTTTTAAAGAACTGATAGAGATGAGAATGAAAAAAAAAAACAACAAAACAAACAGATGAAAATAATAATAACAGTAATAATAATGGTGTTAAAATAAAGACCCCCCCCCCCCCCAAAAAAAAAGACAGAAAAAACGAGTTGGACGGACAAGGTCATGTGAAAAGATTTTCTTAAAATAGACCGTGAAATCACAGACGCTTGGGACAAAGACCCCTCTTTTGGTAAATAATCTTTAATATGTCAACTTATTTTCACTTATCTAATGTGGATGCATCAAATATAAACTTAATTGATCGTAATATCGCATGGGTAAGAGCAAGGTCAAATTAAATCAGAGAAAATAAGTTGTAATATTAAAGAATTTATAGTAAAAAATGTAACTGTTTAGTTAATATGATTTAAAAACTAAATGAGTTAATTAAGAATGAACTTCAATGTTGATAGTGAAAAAAGAGTCGAGCGCACATAAATCGGTACAGGTGTACCACACCGATATTCGCGTGCCCGTCAAAAGTTAGGAGCTATGTTGGAAGTTGTCTAATGTCATATCAAAGTTTTTGAAATTTTTTTATTTATTGCAGAGATTTGAAATTTGCAGTTTAATTTATTCAAAACTTGTGTAGACTGGACGATTTAGAACTGCACATATTGTCTATTGTTGACTCTTCTATTGGTCTTTGGTTTTTATGTTGTAGGATTGCTGTCTCGTTGACGTTTACTCCATATCCTTTTAATTTTATTGATAGTTGTTTGGAATCTGGTAAGTATAGAAGGGTCATATCAAACATGTCAAAAGAAACTAAATCAAAGAGGAATAACTCTATACCTACTGTGAACGAATGGGACAAACAGATGTTTTAACTAAAATGACAATTTAAACTTTTTTTTATTTATGTTTGTAAAAGAAAAATAAACAAAATCTTTCAGTCTGTAGTATGTGAAATAACTGACATACTAATGTCTACATGTTTTCGCTACAAATGCAGATAACAAGATTTATATTTATTAATCGTTGAAAAAATTGAAGGCTGTCTTTCTTAGCACTCTACATACGGATAGAAATCACCCAATGAAAATAATTTTTAAGCGCAAAATGATAATTTCATATCTTATTCGAACGAAAAAAATTTTGTTAACGGACGATATAACTAATAATGTTTGACGTGCATTTTTTACCGAACAAAATAGATAACGAAGTTTGATAATATTTATCACAGTAAGTTTGTGTACACTAAATGTGTGATTGATAACACGATGGTATATTTAATTCATCCAGACATATTTTAAATGTACAGTCATGACTTCGGTTAAAGTTGCTGTTCGTGTAAGACCAATGAATCTGAGGTAATTAACAAACCTTTTCACCTTCCCATATCCTAATGTTTTGCATTTTCTTGGTCAAATCATAGATGGGTTTATACATCTATGGTCAAATTATCTGTCGTCCAACTTACTATATTTATATATATTACTAGTGTGAAACTAGCCGGCGATAACAGCATGATACTTATTTATACGTTTTAGTTAATCAAGGGCGTTATATTATAATCTTCCTGTTAAAATCATCGAGATGTTGTATGATAGTCTGGTTTTTAGTACCACGGGATAAGTACGAGGACATCTTTAAGGGTTAACAGTCCACAAACTGTTGTTGTTTTAAAGGTTGCTGGTAGTTGATGAAATCCCATACAATACACATGGATTTAACCTTAAGACCAATGACAAAACGCCGGCAGTAACATAACAGTGCATAATTGTGCATAGCTAAACTATAGACATTTGCGAGTCCAAAAACCAAATAAACAAAGTCCATATTACAAATCATTTCTTTACCATTTTAGTAAAAAAGAAGAGTTCTCAAATGTTAGCTGTCTTCATCCTTGCTGGATTTATATAAGTAAATCGGAAAATTTGGCGTTTTGTGGTTTACTGGCGAGGAGCGGAAAGGTCTCTCTCGGGACATCGGGATTGAACCTTTATTTTTTGGGGGGAATTCGGGATTGAACCTTGATTTTTGTGGGAATTCGGGATTGGGCCTTTATTTTCGCGGAATTCGGGATATACACCTATCGGGACTCGGATAACATACCGGCATGTTTTAAATCTTGTCATAAATATGTTGTTTCAGATAAAAAAGAAAACCCCTTCAGTTAGTCAAATTTAAGCTTTTTATCGAACATATTTAAATAAGTCAATTTGTAATATATCAAATGATTGACATTTTACAGGGAACGAGATGCAAATGCTGATGTGGTCGTTAAATTTACGGATAAGATCATACTAACAAATAATAAGGTAAGAAAACCTCATGTGTACAGTCTCATATCATTGGGGCGCGCTATTATGCATGATTAAACCAGTTTCGGGTGTTACCCGTATGCATTCATTCACTGGTGATATAGTCCCGTAAGTGTTGGCGGATTTTTTTTTATCTGAACATGATTGTTAGCAAGTTTTATTGGAATTGAAAGAATTCAAGATTATGTTTACAGAGGTGATTTGTTTATTATACCCTCATTGTATCTTCTGACTTTTGCTTTTTTTTATGTTTACAGAGGTGATTTGTTTATTATACCCTCATTGTATCTTCTGACTTTTGCTTTTTTTTAAAGATTTGCATCAAAGGACACCTGTATTTATAATGAATAACTTGTACCTGTAATTAAGAATGTCTGTCAAAATACTCAAAATCTGCCGTGATCTATCTCTGAGGTTTCGGTCATCTCTAGGCATTTATAATTTGGTCACATGTTAGGAAATACGCGTCGTAATCTTGTTAAATTCTAAACATTCACATATGTATATGTGATCCTGTGAATTTTAGTATAAAAAAAGTATAATAACAAAAATAACGAACTCCAAGGAAAATTCAAAACGGAAAATCCTTTATCAATTTCAAAATCAAAAACTCAAACACATCAAACGAATGGAAAACAACTTTAATGCTGTATTGTATTCCGTGCTTCTTGCTAAAAAAATGTAATTTGTTAAAAAGTATAATCGATTGCACGAGGTACATGCACAATGATAAAAAGAATGTGTTTTCTAATAGGTTAGGCGGGGCTCATAATTCCTTAATCTTGGGTTGCTTTTAAATAGCACGAGTTGCTTAATCATTTATGGATAGAAATTCAAGATACTGTGAAAGTACTCTGGTGTGAAGTAAAGTAAGGAGAAAGGCCCTCTCTCCTATTGTATTTTTGATTACTGTATAAAAAACGATAGCTGAAAAAATTGAAAATCAATCTTTACTTGTTTAAACTTATTCAACGCATTATCAATAGTGTAAACATTAGTAATTAGGAAGTTTGATATGAACGTCTACTTAAAATTACTTTCATTATAAGATTCCAGAGTTTGGTTGTGAAGGAGACGTAGCTAGAGAAGCCACTCGTACCAAAGAATTTTCCTTCAATTACATTTTTTGGTCTGTGGATCAGGATGATCCAAATTATTGTTCGCAGGAAAAGGTAAACCATACATTTTGTTTCAAGATCATATACTGTTATGATGAATATGACGACAACTGGGACGACCATGACGATGACGTCGACAGCGGACTTTTCGGAGAAATTAAATGAGTTAATACGGTTACAAATTTGGAATGATTACGTATTAAATGCGTTGCTAATGTTGCACTTGTTGTATTTCTATCACATTTTTAAATGAAGAAATGAAAGTTTAATATCAATTTAATATAGTGATTTTTAAAATAAATAAATTGTACAATGAAGAAACCATGCTATTGGTAGGTTTTTCAGGAATTTGGAACAGACATTGTGTCGTCTGCTTATGATGGTTACAATGCATGCGCATTCGCTTATGGTCAACCTGGCTCAGGTAAAACCTACACAATGATCGGAACGCAGGTATGTTAATATGGGTACACAAAACAACTTTTGACTTATTGTTTGACTGTTGGTTGCTTAACGTTCAGTGGCAAATATTTCAGGCATGTTCAGGACGAGAACAATTTAACAATAAATACAATATGTAGGGCCTTAATAGAGGCTGTCCGGGATGAAGGTTGGGGAAATATGGACTGCCACTGGTACATGAGGATATATTGGATAAGGACCGATATCTTGCCTTGCAACAGGCCATCTACGGACCCATCAATGAGTTGTTGCAAGGATTTTTAATGTACAAGAGCGTGTCACTCTCTTTATACGAGGCATCGGATTTAACGTCCCCATTCTGACCGGACGTGGCTACGTACTTGTATATCCCGCACACTCAAACACACACCTCACTCTGGCAAGGATTTTACTGCCGGTCGGAAGAAGACCAAAGTGACCATATATCTATTCCCCAGTCACCCTTTTGTAGATATATTTTACAAATAAGATAAAAAAAAAACAGCACGTTAACAAAAATCACATAAACTACAAATGCCAATACACTTTTATTATTTCTAATTTGTATGTGATGTTGTCCATCACTTGTGTGTGATTATATCATCAGCAGGACAAACTCGCCCGCGCGTAGTAATCTTTGACATTACTTCAAAGAAAAAATATCATTATATCTCATTACTTATTTCAAACTTGATCGATGAACTATAATTAGTACCTGTTATCGTGTAATCTACCATTAAAAAGCTCTTGATTCATGGATGACATTAAATTGTTTTTAATGTTTAAGGAAAATAGAGGTCTAATTCCGAGGATATGTGATGTAAGTATACTAAAAATAGACTAGATAATAAAAGACACACACTTACTCCTAGATATCTTACCAGTTACGTCAATTGAAATACATCATGCCAAATTTGTTATGCTAGTGGCACGTTTAAAGATTACTCTTTATAGTGAATGACCAGATTCAAAGTTTGGGGAAGACAGTATGCAATCAGAGACCGTTCTATTGAATTAAATATTACTGGTTAAGAAAATTGAGAGGTAGATATCATTCTATTTAGTTTTGAAGCTTTTGTTTTTACATCAGTTTGTCAATGTTTTTTTTTGTTAAGGTACTTTAGGTTTTTCTTAACCAGTAATATTTAATTCAAAGTACCTTCACAAAAAAACATTGACAAACTGATGTAAAAACAAAAGCTTCAAAACTAAATAGAATGATATCTACCTCTCAAAACAGAACTTAATTTTTTAACTGATGGATAAAAAGGGGTGTACTATATGCATCATCAACAACTGGAAAACGAAATATTCACAAAAAATAAGGTAGAGTTCAGTATATGGTCTTCAATTATAAACAAGTGTATTTGCAATACTGTGGATTCATTATTATTCATTAAGTACCAATTTTCTTGGATTTCATGGGTAAAGGTTTACCACGAATTTAACTATTCAACGAAGAATACATTGTCCATAGACTTGTATATGGACTTTTGTAAATCCACGAAATCAAATATCTACGAAAATACATTTTTTTCTCAATCCACGAAAATTGGTACCCACGAAAAAAACTGAATCCACAATATTTACAGCTATAAACCGTTCCTGGTCTTCACAACAGAATATGGAGCAGGCAACCAAAAATCATTAGTGAAAGAAAAACGACGAAAGCGGTACCAGAAAGCTGGTTATTGAGTGACACATACTTAACTAAAACACACACACACACACGAAATGTGCGACTGAACTTAAGTGCGCTATGAATGAAGGAAACAGTTACTAACACAGATCTGCGACAACACAAAATTCCCTAAAGGATAAAATAGACAACCACACAACCACGGAAAAGGTTTATTAGTAGGAAAATTCTGTGTCACAAGGGAAATGTTGACGTTGATAACTATAAGATAGGTATCTTTATTTTCGCCCTCTCAAAAATTTTGAAGGTCAAATTATTCAAAGCTATCATTACGTAGGACCTGACTACCATCAAAAGAACAGTGTTGTTGAAATCAAGCTTGATTATACCGATGAAAGGCATATATAATATTGATTATACAATTAGTTTGTAGATCTAACTGATACAACGCTAATAATATTTGTTTAATGTCATCATATGTGCAGACAGCAAGTAGTATCTATAATATTATTTGTCCAATATCGAGTATGTTTTTCGAGACGCGTAGTAAGACTCAATAACACAAATAAACGAATTTCCATTTTCTTTACGTACCTGTCAATGTTAGTATAATAAGTCATTGTCTTTATTAGGATATTTTTCTGAAGATGAATGACCAGTCTGCAACATATAGAACAGAAATAAGGTAAATGTTACTACAAATTGAATACAAGACTTATCTTTATATAAGATATTTTACCCAATATTTAGCGACACTTCAATTTTTAAACATGACAAAAATCCAAAAACAAACAATCACATTGCCACTATTGCAGAGAACATTTTTGCTGTTGTGTCGTTATAATCTTACTGGAAAGTCTGATATGGCCTGAAATGGCGGACAAATGTCAACAAGGAACGTGTTACAACGGTTCATACTTATTGTGCACTGAAAAGCCCATGGACTTTTTTCATACTAATTATAAGATTCGACGATTGAATTTAAACGAGATTTCTTGTATCTTGTATATAGGATTAGTTTTAATATTCGCCTGGAATAGTAATTATTTGAAAGACAAATTAGGAAAACAAATAATATAAAAAAAACAACAGCTAAAGCTCCCAATGGTGATTGGAAGATAAACTTCGTTTTTGATAAATTCATAAGCTGTTACAAAATAAAAAGATAGCAGGGAGCAATCAGTCATAATTCGCAGGACAAAAACACCATAGACAATGAAAAAGGCTATAAAAACAACTCACGAAAAGGAAAACTTAAGATTGATCAACACGAAACCAAGAAAAAAATGGCATGGATGAACCAATGGTGCTACGAATGGCAGTTCCTTCTCCACTAGTGACACGCGACGTGCTGCTCCGGACAAGTTAACATCCGTTTAAAAGTCGCATTCGATAAATCGTAATACACGAGGACAGGAGGACGGGTTTTCATTGGAATGAACGTAACTTAATTTATGATTGATTATTCATCTAAATATTGTATGCTAATTAAATATTTTTTATTCTACGTTTTTTTCAAAATCTTTTTAAAAAAAAACCACAAAGTTATGCCTGATTTGCTCGTTATTTGTAGCATGTATGCTGCCGTTTTATCTACATATACTGCTATAATTTGCTCTTGCATTTCAAATGAGTTGGAGTTTAAAAATAAGCTTCCTATTATTCTAGTTTTATGGAGATATATAATGAGAGAGTTAGAGATCTACTAGAAACCCCCGATAGAGCTCGAGAGGGTTTACGTGTAAGAGAGCACCCTAAGTATGGCCCATATGTAGAAGGTAACATATCCTGGTTAAGTATATTGATGCCAGTACAAACGTTTTTTATATAGATTAGACCGTTGGTTTTTCTGTTTTAATTGTTTTACACTAGTCTTTTTGGGACCTTTTATAGCTTGCTGTTCGGTGTGAGCCAAGGCTCCGTGTTGAAGGCCGTACTTTGACCTATAATTGTTTACTTTTTACACATTGTGACTTGTATGGATAGTTGCCTCATTGGCACGCAAACCACATCTTCTTATTTATAGTTCAGATTAAAGCACCCTTACATAAAAGCGAAAACAGCTGACATTACATTACCTAGAGTAAGACACTGTGCATTGTGATTTCAAAGTATAGTTCTGAAGCAAGTTTCACGATCAGAGACATAACAAAACCGATGATAATATTAGAGGGACAATTGTGGATGTTATCTATTAAAGGATAAACATGTCTCCAATAGTAAATACCGAAGCGACAGAAAGGAGAAACATCCATATTCAGAGAAAATCTAGGCAACAGTTGTTTATCGATATTCAAATCTCATTAATTGATTAAGACGATACAAATCATGGTAACAAAAAAAACAAACAAAAAAAACCCTTTTTTTAAGCTCAACAATTATGTAAACTACATTGATATTGTGTTTGATTATAATCAAGCACTTGCTTACCACATCGAACGATCTTGTTGTCTTATATATAAACTAATAATAGTAGCCATGAATAACGAAATATTCATAGACAAGATAGTGGGTGTCATTGTCATATCAATTCTAAGGTTAACAACAAAATATATATTCTTTTGATCAGATTAAAGATTCATTGAAATTACTCTGATCATACCATGAGGATTTGAATAACAATTATAAACTCAATTTTGAAACTCATAGAAGTAATATATAGGATAAAAAGAACCAAACAAAACCTGCGATGAAATACAATTTATAATTTTGTTCCTATAGATTTATCCCACCATATAGCAGATAGCTTACAAGATGCAAATGACCTCATTCGAATAGGCGAAACGAATAGGTAAGAGTAACAGAAGTCTTGAGAAATTACTACTGCTGGATATTATTGATCATGTATATTGTCAAAAAACGAGGTATGACATATTGCTCATGCTTTTGTTTCATTCAGAGATGTCCAAAATTCGCAGATGGAATTTGGGTATTAAAGATTTTAAAACATGACTTTTAAAGTGTGTGTTGTTTTTAAATGAATATATGTATATCGATAAAGTAGAAAGATCACTCTACAATATTCTTTGCTATTATAGACAATTTTGTTTTTCTGCATACACATTTTTTGGGGTTAAAATTTCATCGACATACGGGATAAACCAAAGACTTTCAAATTGATTTTTGCTGCTCTTCCCTAAGAATGCGGCATTTAGGTGTAAGCGCAAATACTGGTCGGCTGGGAGTTGAACTAACTAGTCCGGGAAGGCTGATATGTCTTCATTAGGACTGTTTCCTTGTGAACTAGCAATATAAAAATCGGACTCAGCGTGTCGGTTTTGTATAAAACATGATTCATATTAATATCAAATTGACATATTATAGTTCTGATATTGATGTAACATTTGCCTTTGGATGTTAAACGCCGATCAATCATCATCGTCATCGTCATCGTCATCATCATTATAATTATTATTCATTGTTAAGCATCACAGCTAGTGCTAATAAGATGAATTAACCATACGTTTATCAAAAGTAATATTAACAAACACATCCTTCTTAGGTGATCTATTTTGAAAGCAATATTTCTATTTTAAACTAATTTAATTAAGATTTCGTATTTATTAGCAATGAATTCATAATGTAAAAATCGAAAGGAATCACAACAGAGATCATAACGCGGAATTTATTAAACGTTTATTTTAATTCATTTCATACAAATGATAGTCACTTTTATATGAAATATTTTGAAACTTCAGATGTACAGCACCAACCAATATGAATGACGTCAGCAGCAGGTCACATGCCATATTTACTCTCATATTTACTCAGGTACTCTCATTTTAATATTTTCACTATATGTCTATATCATAATATTTTGTATATATGTTGAACATTTATAAATCTAAATATGAAATGCATTCCTTGAGTTTTCTGTTTTATCTATGCGTCTATCAAAACTAAGAATTGACAGATTGCACAGTAGATTGTAATGAAAGTTTTAGAAAAAATATTGTCCTTTGGTAATGAATAATTGTTTTTTTAATATGATGGTTTTAGTTTTATGATAGCTATGTATGAAACGATTTACCTTAAACACTCAAACCTAGACATTTGAAAACCAGGTATTTATGAGTAAATCTTGAAATCATCACTTAATCATAACTGGTGCTGATGTTCATTTGCAAAAGGATACTAATATGTAATACCAACCAAAATTTGAAAAAAAATAAGATAACATTATATTGTTTCCCTTTCTCGAGAACTCCAAACCAAAGACTATACAGTAACAACTAACATATCCAATTAAAGTCTTTTTTTTTCATTATCGTCTTACTTTTTAATAACCGTTGTTTTCGCAAATTTTTATTTGTTTTAGGCTAGAATATTTAATGGAATGCCTTATGAAACCCAAAGTAGAATTCATTTGGTGGATCTGGCTGGAAGGTTGGTTCCCATGAGTAACATATACCCAGTAGCCAGTGCTCAAATTCTAAAATTATCCTAACGAATACTTTGCAATTTTCAGTTCATAATTTTTGTAATCATTCTAAAAAACAATTACTTGAGCAAAGTTGACATACGACGGCTTTTTTCTGTTCATTTTGTTATGCTCTCAAACGTAATATTGTTTTTTTAGCTTTCTTAGCTTTTGGTCTCGACACTACTTTATGAAGATTGTTCCATAATCACGTGTCGTCCACTTGAAATTTTTTATTTTAATAATTTGATAACGCTGCTTGTGGAAATTAATCTTCGTGGGAATCATTCGGCCTGTAGTCAGTGCTTTATTGTAGCATGATTTAAATGACATATTTTGCATGTAGTTATAAGTTAATAAATTTTTTGGAATTGTACTTTTACTTATGTTGAACTTTAATGGTCAATGATTTTTTTATTGAATTTTGCTAATTAAATTTTGTCTTAATAGCGAGAGTGCAGATGCTTCAGGGGCTACTGGACAAAGACTGAAAGAAGGTGGTAATATAAACAGATCACTAGTCACTCTTGGGACAGTTATAACACTACTAGGTAAATTTCTCGGTTTACAATTTGTGCATGGAAAAAGATATCAGTAAAATGTGAAAAAAATATGTTCTTTAAAAGTTTAATTTAACTTGTAAAATAATTAAGAATTCTAAAAATTTCGAAAATTGAGTACATTTTATTGTCAAAGATTATTTTTTTATATAACGTTACTGTAGCAATGTATAAATGTCATCTGTGATGTCACAAAGATGAAAGGGTTGTATCTGGCATAACTGATAATAATACATATGAGCAGCATCCTATCTTGTGGAGACTTTTCAAGAATGATAACTGAGAAAATCATGACAATTCACAATTTTCAAATTCTATAATAAGGAAAGCAAACTCAAAGTACGCATGCTGTTTCTTTTAATTTCTATTTTGGGATTCAAACTTAAAATATAACAAATACGACATCATTACTTGAAAAAATGTCCTTCTTTAGATTTTCTACTATTACCACTACTTTTTCTTTTACTAGTTAAAGTATTCTACTATTTCTACTTCTGCTAAGATGATAATTGTTTTTCTCAATATATTGAAACTGTTGTATTAGGGTTTTTTCAAAGTCTGCTTATTTCTATTCAGCTAAATCTTCCGACACAGACATAGAGAAAAAAGTTTTTATTCCATACAGAAATTCTAAATTAACATGGTTGCTTAAGGATAGTCTTGGTGGTAACTCTAGAACTTTTATGATAGCAAGTAAGTGAAGAATCATTTCGAATGCTTATTTACTATTACATTTTCCCTTATGATATACATTTGATATGTCAGAAGGTGTAGTTAGCAATTGTATTAAATAATGTAATAAAAACTTTTACATTTCTCCAAAATCAAGCACATTTTAGCTAAATGAGAATAAAAAGTGTTCCAGATGGAAGATGGCATCTAAAAAGTTTTTTTTTTTAAATTTGTTATGTAACAGACTGTCTGTACTTCCGCTTATGGACTGTTTAACTATGATAGCAGCATTTTTTAAATAATCTGTAGCTAATACATTATCAGTACCAGAATTTATGCAAACGAGACGATTTTAATTTTGAAATTATCAATTTCCCCCACCTTAGAAGTAATATACCAACTTCACCTGCATATGGGATATACATTTCTCAACCCATTCGGTATTCAAGAGCTTGCAGCTGCTACTCAGACTTTATAAAACGTCACCAGTGTCTGAGCAGAAAGTTGATGAAACAACGTTATATCAAAGAACATTCGTCCTTTAAAAAAATGTTCATCGGAAGATATCAAGACCTTTTTGATAAATATTCCGTATTAACTTCACAAATAATACACGATGGTCTTGAAGCATAGATTATAAGTACTGACGTTGTTTATCATCTTAATTACGTGTTGTTCTTTTTCTTTTTCTTTGTATATTTCAAAACTTTACTGTTTAGCCTATTTTGGTAATATACTTTTAGCGTGGCTCGGTATTTATACATCCCGCCATTGTGTTATTGTGCTATGGACTATTTTTTATTCTTGTTTTTCATTTTTACTTATATACTTTCCCTATTGTTAATTTTCCTTTTTTGGACGGCGATGTTCCTCTGGCACCATCTTACGGTGTTTAAATATTCCAACTTGTTCGTTATGCCCATGTCTGTAGTGACGTTTTGGATTTCAATGAACGTAATCTATGTATAACTGGTAAATTATTAAGTCAGGAATTTCGTTACCACAAATTACTTAAAACCTTTACTAAATTCTTCCATAGATACAAAGATATGGTTTGCAAGTTTGGCTGTAACTGTAAAAAACTTATTTCAGACGGAATAGCACATCCTAAATTTTACGGTGATGTTGTTGCCCGAGCCCGGAAGTTTGTATACGATCCGGAAAAACTTATCAATCCTTTAAATGAACTTATTCTAAAAGGTTACCAATTCAATACCGTAATTGGATCTTTGAATATTGTTTTATTGGTATAAATAATGATTTTGTTATCAGTAAATTAAAATCATACTAAAAAGTTTTGTTATACACATATGCACTTTAACGGAACTACAATCTGTCGATACCTTTATTTTGGCATTGCACAAGGTCGTGTTTTTCTCTGACTGTTAATGACGTCTTTTCACTAAATCAATAGGATGTTGGATGTGTACCGATTGATATCTTAGATACATGATTTTTTTATGAGTTGTTATTGGCTATGAACCAGCTGTCAGTAACTGCGAGTACTCTCAGATCTGTACTTAATGTCCTTTTTGTTGTTAGGGATGAGGGATGGATAAATACCCTGCCACGTCGGGTCTGTGTTTCTGTTTGATGTTTTCTGCTTTGTATCGATCTGATGAGTTAAGCCTTTTTCAACTGATTTTTATAGTGTGTTTTTATGTTGTGCTGTTAAATAACTGTCCCAGGTTAGGGGGGGGGGGGGTTTGAGCGCTCACAAATGTGTTTTCCCCGCTACATTCTTTATGTGCCTGTCCCAAGTCAGGAGCCTATAGTTCAGTGGTTGTCGTTGGTTCATTTCTGTCATATTTGTTTTTCGTAAATTGTTTTGTTATAAATTAGGCTTTCAGTTTTCTCAATTGAATGGTTTCATATTTTTCATTTCGGGGCTGTTTATAGCCGACTATAAAACTATATGGGTTTTTCTCATTGTTGAAGGCCGTACGGTTGCCTATAATTGCTTACATCCACTTAATTTGAACTTTCGTCGATAGTTGTCTCATTGGCAATCATACCTTATCTCTTTATTTTTATTTTGTCTATAGAGTGTCTATATGCCATTTTGTTTTTCTATAACACAGTGTTGATTGCTGTTCCCCTATTTTTGACATTTTTACCTATAATGTCTTTGTTTTGCTCACACATTGTTGTCAATATAATGGAATTCTATGCGACTGTCATACAAGTGAGAGGTTTAGCTAGCTATAAAACCAGGTTTTATCCATCATTTTCTACATAAGGAAATGCCTGTACCAAGTCAGGAATATGACAGTTGTTTTCCATTCGTTTGATGTGTTTGAGCTTTTGATTTTGCTATTTGATAAAGACTTTCCGTTTTGAATTTTCCTTGGAGTTCGTTTTTTTTTATTTTACTTTTTAAAAGGATTAAAAGACTTTAATTTCTTCCGTTCTGAACTTTGTATTTTATGTAGCAATATCCCAATAAGACCTGTTAATTTCATATGGAACATTTTGAAATTATTATTGCAGCAATATCACCAGCAGATATCAACTATAATGAAACATTAAGGACTTTGAGATATGCTGTAGGAGCAAAGAACATCGTGAACAAACCAACAAAAAATGAGGTAAAGTGTATTAGCTACCATTTGTATATCTTTAAGTTTGTCATCTCTAGATCTATTACCAAAAAGAGACAGAAAATACCAAAGGTATTCAAAGATTACGAGTCGAAGAGAATGACCATGCCATGGCATACGACGAAAGACAATGAAATTACGAACAAGCCCACAAAACACTAAATAAAAAAATTAAAGCCAGATTTATTCATTACCTAATCGTTCACATATTTGCTTGTCATAACGTATTTAAAAAAAACGCTTAAAGTAGAATAATATGTTGATTGGTAACAGATATGTACTCAATTCTTTAGGACCCTAGTGTTCGATTGATAAGAGAGATGAAAGAGGAAATATCACGCCTGAAAGCAATGCTTGGTGGAGAACTGGTATGTTATAATGTTGAGTAATTTAATAGATTTAATAACAATGAAGTTTGAAAATGTAATACATATGCATTATTACGTCGTTGATAAAATAATCATAATTTCAAAAAAACTGTTTGTAATATATATCTATAACTGTTTTGTACCTCTGTTGTTTAATACACGTAGACAATGGTATACCTTTTACACCACTAATTTTATGTGAATATTTTCCTATTTTGTTGTTATTACTCAACTGAATCAGAAAAAGTGTAAAGACTCCATATAATACTCACTCAAGAAGTGCAAGCTACATGAATCAATAATATACAAATTTAGGAATTGTGGTGTTAATGCCATATATTTGTCAATCTGTTGAATTTCTTTTCAACTTTGTTCAACTTTAACTATTTTAAACCTGCCAAATGTTTACAGGGAACCTCAAAACTTCGGACAAGCCCATGCTCAGTTAACTTAGGTAACATTGAACAGGGTAACCCGTGCCCAATTTTTTAAGAATTGATGAAATCTCTTAACTTTTCAAAATTTGTTAAGACATAATTATTGGACATGTGTCCCAGACGTTGCGGCTTAGCCAGTGCAATCGGAACCCCTGCCCGATTTGTTTTAAAATGGTTTGTTTGTATAATTGGAGTTTGGAGAAAGTACTGGTAATAGTTTTGGTTTTTAGATACCTTACTTTTGGTACTCTCAGTACTTGCTTAGACATGTTGTTTTTGAATGGTAACTCGAGTTTTAAGACATGCATATAGGCGGAAAATTATTACCGATAATAGTACAATTTTTCTTGTCCTTCCATGCTCACTTGTCTTTTGAAGTCTTGAAATACAAGAAGATCATACAGGTTTGTGGCTCATCTTTGTTTTCTCAAAAAATGAATATTATTGATAAATATTCCGTATCAACTTCACAATGACTTGTTTATCATCTTAATTACGTGTTATAGTGTTCTTTTATTTGTCTTTGTAAATTATTCACCTTTACTGTTTAGTCCTTTTTTATTAATATCCTATTGGCGTGGCTCGGTACTTTCTTTGCTTATGTGCTTTGACTATATGCCATTTTGTTTTTCTTTGTTGACATATTTGTTTGTTTTTATAGTGATTAAAATTATGACACAATGTTGACTGCTGTTCCCCTATTTTTGACATTTTTACCTATGATGTCTGTTTGTTTTGTTCACACATTGTTGTCATTGTCATACAAATGAGAGGTTTAGCTAGCTATAAATCCAGGTTTAATCTACCATTTTCTACATGGGGAAATGCCTGTACCAACTATCAATTCAGGAATATGACAGTTGTTTTCCATTCGTTTGATGTGTTTTAGCTTTTGATTTTGCCATTTGACAAGGGACTTTCCGTTTTGAATTTTCCTTGGAGTTTACCTTTTGGCAGTGCTAGTATTTCACTTGTTTCAAATTAGTTTGATTGAGAGCTTGATAATTGTATAGATACTTGTCCATTGTTAAAAACGTTATATATTGACTTCAAGATATCTTTTGGTCATTTTGTGTTTTGATAAGTTGTCGGGTTGTTTCTTTATTTTACTAATTATTGTCGAATATTCAGCGTCACTTGTAATTCTAATTCTAAACATTGTGTTGAAGGACAAGTCTGCTGAACCAAGAGTGAAAGAAATGTTACAAGAAAGTGAAGTCAGAGTTGGTATTATATAAGACAATCAAATTACAAATGTCATTTTCTGACACAATATATAATCGAGAATTAAAAATTAAAAAAAGCATTACAAGTAAAAAATGTCAATATACATATAGGAAAAATATTATTATTAAGTGTTTGAATATATCTATATTTTTAGGTAAAGCAGTTTTTATACCTTCAAATTACTTATATAATCAATTTTTAAAAGTATTTCAGACGTGATCAATGCAAGTCGATGTATTTTCTTGTCAATTCACGTAAATTTGAAATAATTGAAGTAAACCTTGGCCTTTGAAGTTTTCTTTGTATATTTAGGTGAAGGTGTTAACTGAAGAATGGACAGAAAAATGGCATGAAACCGATATAGCTGTATGTATAAAATCTAAATAGGAACCCCAATATGATTCAATATTGATATGAAACAATATAATTATGTAGAGCTTGCTCGTTTGCTTGCAGTTCTTTTAAGAATCTCATTATGTTCTTCTCGGGGCAATCTTAACTGAAATGTTTATGAGTGTTTCTTTTTCTTTTGTTGTAATCATTGCTTGTCTTTGCCTTTTCCCCCGTCACGTCTGTATGTAATATTATTTCCGCTATCAAAGTCTTAAAATTACAGTTTGTTAGAAAATTTACTTGAACACTTTCCAGTGTCTCTTTGAAAGATTTTTACGTAATTCCGAAAAGTGCTTTTGCACAAAACAATTTTGGAAAGTATAATTTGGTTTGTTCTGAAGTATTCACTTTGTTCCATTTATTTGTTCAAAAGATTGGACAGAAAAAAAATGAAGAGATATCATAAATCGGTTACCTTTCTATGTTTAGTGTTCATAGCTCTTCAAGTTTGTAGTACATTTTGGATTCCCCCCTGACAAAAAAATATTTAATCGAACTACGCATAGTCTATTCAAATCAAAATTAAATCATTATGTAATTCTACAAGTTCTGCAAGACATCAATCTTTTAATTGATAAAACATATGATAGTATTTTAATTGTTGTTTTGAACATATCATTATATTTATAATAATTTTATATTTATAGTAATTATTCTTGTTAAAATACATAATAATATTTATAATAATTTAAAAAAAATTATATTTTTTTACAGGATCATGCAATGGCTGTTCGCAAGGAAGGAAAGGGAATCATGTTAGATTCAGCACATCCCCACCTTATTGGAATTGATGATGATATATTTAGCACAGGGATAACAATGTATAATCTTAAGGTTAGATATGGAATTTATTCTATTGAATGAAAAATTAACCGGCAATGAAAAATCATACACAGAAGAAGAAAAGAACTAATCCATGATCAAAAGACGAAAAAAAAAAAAAAAAAGCAGCCAACAGTCTTCAAAACCCTAAAAGAAAATCTAAAAATTGAAAAACACAAAAACCAGAAAAAAACGGGAGTATATTGCTGTGCTCTGGAAGCGTCAAAGCGTTTGAAATTATAGCCCAATTCGACATTGACGTATGCGTTGAAAAGAGGTGCATCATAAGAAAAATCAGTATAGTTAGATAAAATCAGGCGTCATAAAATTAATACATTTCTTTTGAAAAATAATCCTCTGTATGAATATAAAAGTGATATTTAAAACGTTCTCTATTTGATACGTTCAATTCTTATCAGTAAAACAGAGCTTTAAGTAAACAAAAACTAAGGTATTACCGCTTGTTACTTTCTCCAAAACGATTCCACTTGTTTCAGGTTCCCTTTCATATTTTATCATTTTGTCTTTTAAGATCATTTCATGTATTTATCTTTTCATCATTGAAGGTTGGCATAACTACAATAGGTAGAAATGACGCGCCAATAGAGCAAGATATCAGTAAGTTATTTTATGAAGAAACTATCCATTTAATCCGTTTACGTTGGTAGCTTTCCCGTCACACATCAATGCACCAATCTTTGTATTTGAATATTCCTAGTTACTCGATCAGTCCGAAACACATGAAATTTACTTGAATTAACCTTTGCAGTTATGATCAGAAGGGATTTGTGCAAGATGAAAAAATCCGAAAATTCGCGCTCAAATATTGTGCAAATCTTTAAAATTAATTTGCATTGTCAATATTACAGCTGTAGATTAAAACACACCAACAAGTCTAAAGCACAATAGAATAATTCCGTATATACTTGAATTTACCAATAAGGAGATGTCGTTCGGCCTTCGACAAGGACAAAACCCATACCATATAGTAAGCTGTAAAAGGTAACGATATGACCAAAGTGTGAAAAACTGTGAAATTCGGAACAGAAAACCATTTGCCTGATTTATACTACAACCATGAAGGAAAAAACAAATATTGCAGTCAGAAACAAACGCCAACCAATACATTACAGGTTCATGACATGGGACTTGCACATACAGAATATGGCGAGGTTCAACATGTTTTGGAGCGCTCAACCCTCCCCTTAACTGGGACAGTAGTGTAACAACACAAAAAAGAACAACTTGTAAAATTATTTTAAAAAGGCAGAATTCATCAGTTGACAATGGGTAAAGCTAAAATAATCACATTTGTCATAGTGTTTAGTTTTAAGTCGCCTATTTGTGTCAATATTGAGATATGAAGCAGACAATCTAATTACGGTAGTATCCTTAATTCCAAGTTCACTGTGATATATAAGATGCAAAACATCACTGAAATATGGGTTATTGAGTGGCAGAACATCATCAATATATCTGAAAGTCAAATTTAAGAACTTGGCATGTATTTATTACTTTTAGAAGGTTGACTATGAAATCTGCTTCATGTGAGTGCAATAAACAAGTCGGTCAAAAATAAATATCCATTGCAATACCGACTATTAAATACATGGATAGCACTATCATGTTAGGTTATGCGCTAAACTATTGAACAATGTTCAAAGATCTCATACAATGCCTAATGAATGACATTTCAAAATAAGTTCATTCATAGGAACAATAAGCTGATATTGACCGTATCTTTATTTACGAAATCTGTAAACAACAACACCTTAAAAATTGGAATATGATATCGATCGTGTTGTAAGAATAAAACAGGAACAATCGAACTTCCAAACCGCATCTTGGAAGAAGCCTGAAAAAGTACGAAACTAAGTCTTTGAAAAATGGAAATAACACTTTATAAATTGTATGCGCCCGTGACACTTTTATTATTTTTTTAAATTTGAAAACTAAGGATGTATAAGTATCGAAACACATGTAAAGATATATGACTAAAAGGGATCTTATAAATAACAGTCGAATCCATCTCAGGTTTACTTCGCCTGAGGGATTTGAAACCATAGTATCTTAAACATTTTTAGATAAAATGTTCGACCGAGTTTGAACTACATTTGGCAATATCTAAAATATATTCGATCGAATTTGGATTCGACTGAAACCGTAGTCGACAAATCCTCAACCGAATGTGACTGCGTCTTAACTGCTCTTTACAGTATTTTTGATCAGACGGTGTGAAGGACAGTTCAGAAGTGATCAAGTACGTTTCAGACTAGACCGAACACATTTCAGACTGGTTTGACAGAGTGTGTATTTGCATGGCATGTGATGCATTAATATCAAGAAACAACCCGGTCTCGTTCACCTCCGTTTAGTACCTTCTTAATGGATTTAAGATTTTGACATCGGTAACTACTGGTTGCCTTTGATATAATTTATATAGGAGTCAAATCTATCTTAGTTTTAGACGGTTAGGGACATGTTTAAGTAAAGTAACTGTAAGTCAGTCTTTTCCATTCTGGTCTGGAAAAATTTAAAAGTTAAGTACAAACTTGGCCTATCCGAACTCTATCGGGTTAGAAGTGTTTCTATTTCATAACTTCAATTAACAAAAGAAGTTTCCATTCGTATCCTATCATAAAATATGCAAGCATCGATTTATATGGAATAAAAAAATAAACAAATAAAGAGTAATATATTATATAACAAAAACAAACGTCATTTTAGCAGACAAAACGTGCCCAAGTTAATGCAAGTCAGTATTTTCCATTTTGATCGGGTAAAATTCAGTACAGTTAAGAGCAAACTTGGCCTATCCGAACTCTATCGAGTTAGTAGTGTTTCTATTTTACAACTTCAATCAACAAAAGAAGTTTCCATTTTTATCCTATCATAAAATATACAAGCATTGATATATCTGAAATAAAATAAACTTGAATAAAGAGTAATATATTATGTAACAAAAACAAACGTCATTTTAGCAGACAAAACGTGCCCACAGCAAGTTCGATTGAATATAAATTCTGGAAACGATAATATTTATATATAGTAATAGTTACATAACATAGATGGTTATAAGGATTCATCTATTTATGGTAGACTGACATTAATCACGTGGTGTTTCATCCCTTATAGCTCAACATCCGTAATGCACGTGCTCTCCGTGACATCAGAAAATAAATAAATGAAATGCCTGATTTTACTCGTCCTTTCCTGGTTTTATTACTTAAATCAAATAATTAAGCACCTTTTTGAAGATTTATTGACAAGAAAGGCGATTATATTATAGTTATTAATATCAATGGGTCGGTACCGCTACCGGTTGAGTATCAGTCCCCGAAGTTCACCGCTGCCAGATAGCTAATGCTTCTGTATACCTTATACACGCTATTGCGTGATGCCATATCACTTGATAAAACTTATCAACATATTTTATAGGAGTAGCACGACGGGTGTCACATGTGAATCAGTATCAGCTTACCCTTTAGAGTACCAGAGATCACACCCGGATTTTGATAGGGTCCCTGTTGCTCAGTCTTTTTTTTCAACTTGTGTTTTGTGCGCTGTTTGTCTTTGGATCCATTTTATTTTTTGCCATCCCATTGTCAGTTTGTTTTCGACTTATGAGTTTGAATATCCCTTTGGCATCTTTTGCCTCTCTATTCTAGACGTTTTTTTAAATTCTGTTTAGATTCTTGTGGTCTCAAGCGAACCTTATGAGCCTGATAACGAAGCATGAGTTGTGTACACACAAATGAACAGTTTATCGATATTCAAATCTAGTAACCCCATTTTGAATATGAATATACCTGTAAAGTGAAAACGACCGAGGGAATCGCATGAACTCCAAAAAGGAGTGAGACCACGTGTGTCGACACGGTAAGCATTTTTTAGTACGCACGCGTAACCCACCAAGCGAATCCTTACTCATTCAAAATGTCATGTATTGAAATCGGACTCAATAGGTCATTTTTCAGATTAAACGACTCTCTAGTTTTTAAAGATCAAAGACCGCGAAAGCAGGTCCTCGTTTGATGAGCACACCCAATTTGTGATGGATACCGTAGAACTCAAAGAGAAATAGCTGGGCATGCCATAAATTAAGTTATTTCTGTTCGATTATATATGCTTTTTCTACCAAACAATTAACACCTTTCTGCAAATGTTATCATTCTGTATAAACAAAAAAAATCAATACTATTATATCTTTACTGTCAGAAATAGCTGGGCTTGACATAGAAAAGGAACACTGTGCAATTGCAAATGATAATAATGTAGTTCAGCTCATTCCAAAGAATGCCGCTATGTGCACATTGAATGGTTGTTTGATAATGGAACCAACCAAACTAACGCAAGGTAAAATGTTTGAAAAATCTTCTAAAGACCAGTATTTGAGAGGTATATTACAATATTTGTATGTGAAGTCTACTATGTATAATAATGCGGATGATATGATTTCCGAAATACAACACGTTTTGTTCGAATAACCATCGTCAGCAACGTTCGAAAGTGTATATGGTATTACATGTGTAAACCAAAGGGCATACAAAATACAACCACCATTGTCCTAGGTAAACATTACCTGGGAAAGTTGCAGCATACGTTTTATGAAAATTACCCAATTCTATTAACTGAATGATTACAGACAAAATTAATGTATAATATGAATAATTCAAATATCATTAATAAATAAAACCACTTCAACGATCTTATTTTGTAGTGTTTTGGAAAGGACCATGACAATGGTAAATACTTAATATATCTATACCAAATTATAATTATTTTGTCAATCATAAATTTTCTTACCCTCATTCTACTGTCTACTTAATGATTATTGTTTCAGGTGCAGTTATACTTTTAGGTAAAACTAACATGTTTCGTTTTAACAATCCAGCAGAAGCAATAAAAATGAAGGAAGAATTAAAGGACGTAAGTGAAGGATAGTTTTACAACAGAAATAACGACCGTACATATTTCGAATATTATTGAACAGGTAGCAATCTATATCCCTGATTTGGAGTTGAATGTATTACATGGCAGTGACTTTCGGGATGCTAATACAACATATACAAATTATAATCAGCCCTCATAAATAAGTAAATATATAAAAAATTGGGAACATGAATATAGGATCAAGTGTGAAGGTAGAGAGAATCATCACGACTTTACCAAAAGTCGTCTACGAACACCTCCCTAGGCATACGCATCCACTAAGACTAATTTTTTAGCTCACCTGGCCCAACGGGCCAAGTGAGCTTTTCTCATCACTTGGCGTCCGTCGTCCGTCGTCCGTCGTCCGTCGTCCGTCGTCCGTTAACTTTTACAAAAATCTTTTCCTCTGAAACCACTGGGCCAAATTTAACCAAACTTAGCCACAATCATCATTGGGGTATATAGTTTAAAAAATGTGTCCGATGACCCCGCCAACCAACCAAGATGGCCGCCATGGTAAAAATAGAACATAGGGGTGAAATGTAGATTTTGGCTTATATCTCTGAAACCAAAGCATTTAGAGTAAATCTGATAAGGGTAAAACTGATTATCAGGTCAAGATCTATCTTTTTCAGACAGATCTGACAACCTGTTGGTTGGTTGCTGCCCTGAATTGGTAATTTTAAGGAAATTTTGCAGTTTTTGGTTATTATCTTGAAAATTGTTATAGATAGAGATAAACTGTAAACAGCAATAATGTTCAACAAAGTAAGATCTACAAATAAGTCATCATGACCAAAATTGTCAGTCGACCCCTTTAGGAGTTATTGCCCTTTATAGTCAATTTTTAACAATTTTTCGTAAATTTTTGTGATCTTTTACAAAAATCTTCTTCTCTGAAACTACTGAGACAAATTTAAGCTTACTTGGCCATAATCGTTATTATGGTATGTAGTTTAAAAAATTTGTCCGATGACCCCGCCTTTCAACCATTATGGCCGACACGGAGAAATTTTCAGACGAATCCGACAACCCGTTGTTGGGTTGCTGCCCCATAGCTAGTAATTTTACAGAAATTTTGCAGTTTTTTGTTATTATCTTAGATATCATTATAATATCTAATATTTAATACTATTAATTATGATTTTAACCTTACATGATTTCCAAAGCATCAGTAAATACAGGTGAGCGACACAGGCTCTTGAGAGCCTCTAGTTTACGTGAGATATATATAGAAAACCATTGGATTGTCGAATTATCCCGTTTCTATCTCTGTTTTAAGCTCCAAGACATAGAGTGTTCTTGATGTGCGACTGAATATAACTTATATTAAATACATAATATGTTCGGTTTTCTTATTATTTTATCGATAATGTATTTTTCTGTCGATGCACAATTTTTGTTTAAATTACGTCTTTTTTACATTTTGTTCTATTTTCTGACACTAGAAGTATCTATGATTTATATTTATTATATGTTTATTTCTTTTTACAGCATGGAATATCGGTATCTAGGGAACCTTCCATTGGCTATGGAAGATCTATCAGTGACATGTACAGATCGACAGATAGCCTGACATCAGCAAAGTACGTATTTATGGTCAATTAAACAAGATTCGTTGTAAATAGGTTGAAATAGAATGTGTCACAAGTCGACGTGTTTTTTTATATTTTCCCAAACCATCCCTTAAAATAGTTCCATATTTTTACAACGGCAAATGTTAAAAGATGGGCAAATTTGTTGCTCACTTTTTAAAAACAGATGTAGATGCAACCTAATAATTTATTTATTTCAAGTTATGACAAATAGGTTTCTTATACAGTTAAATTTATCGTAATTGGGAATGGTATTGTAATCCACTATGTGAAATTTGATGATAATCTACTTTTCCATGTTAATGTTTCACAAAGGATGTTTTCACTCTTAGATTCAACAATCGAAAATGAAAGGGAAATATGAACATCTTTACTAAATGTAAACAGCATAGGATTTGTAATAGAAATTGGCGAGAAATTACATTTTATTGTAATATAAGGATCTCATTAAACTGATTGCAAGAAACCTGTTAATATTTGCCAACTCTCTGAGTATTTTAATATGCTAAAAGTAGAGCAGAAAATCTATGCAATGGGAGAAGAAAACTAAAAGAAAATGTTAAATTTCTCAAAAAATAAAAATAATAAAAAGACACGTTCATGCCAATCAATACAAATACGTTATAATCAAAAGTGTTAAAGGAGTTTATATGAATACAATGTATTTTAAACCGAAATTATAATCTTTAAATTGATATTTAAGGGAGAGGAGTGCCGCTCAACCTGTTAAAAATAACAGGGCAACGAGATATCGCTCGAAATTCTAAAACTAAAAAGGTGTTTTACTAAACATATTCTTGCTAAATATTTATATATATGTATATATATATATATATATGTAAGATTTAGAGAGATCCTTGTTCTTGTTTGGATCTTGATATTATAATTTCTCACGTTATTCTTCATACCAAAATAAATTTTATTATAAGGAGGACAGCCTTTTCTTTCTTATTGTTAATTCTTATATCATTAATGGTGATATACCGTTTGTCTTTATTCTGAAATAAACATTTTTCAGTTAGCTTCATATCTTCAGATTTGCATAAGATCCCATATTTCAATGAGCGGATATTTTCATCACGAAGTACTTTTAACAGGGATGTATTTTTTTTTGCTATGGCATTGTCAGTTTGTCTTCGACTTGTGAGTTTGAATATCCCTTTTGTATCTTCTGCCTCTCATTTATGTACTTAAATTTTCGTCTGCTATTTGTCTTACATAAAATAAAGATGAAACGCCAACGTTTTATATTTGTTTGTTTTCAAAGTTCTATAAGTAGCAATGCCTGTGGTTAGCTTTGGAGAACAGTTTTTTTTGTATTCCAGTAATCCATTGTGACGTTCACTAGATTAATAGACTATATATACCTTAAATTGGTCATAACTTAAACAAATTTTACCCTGATATATGGATTTATTACTAACAGTAATTGGGAGCATTCTTTCATATGGCATAACTGAGTATTGTTGCACTTGTACCAGTGCTTGTGTCTTCTATTATACTGAGTTTAGTACGTTTTCTAAACTGATCTTACGGGATCGTTATCCCTTGTAGATTTTGTTATTCTGCTGGTCTTGATATAAAGGGAGAGTACTAAAAAAACTTCTTAAACCATCGCATGTTCATTTACGTGTCCAAAGCCAGCCTCGTTAGTGAAATTTGATGATAAACTTTATTAAAACTGTGGAAATTGCCACCCAGAAAAACGAAATCTATTCAGCTAACAAATGAAGTGTAATGATATTGCATATGAGTACATTTTTAAAAATGGTCACTATACCGAATATTTGTCCACTTTTAATGTTTTCAAAAGAAACAAGAAACATAAAAATGAATGTTAGTTGCATTTTACAGAAATTAATAAAGACTAATAAAAAAAAATGAACGGCAAATATATTACTGAAAATGCCCATTTTTCACATATTCAGTGTTCTAAAATTGCCACATATTGCAAAGCTGCAAGGACATATTGTCAACAGTAACGAATTTGACTTTTAGAAGAAAAGTATTTAATCGACGAATATGATTTTGATTCAAAGTTTATAATCTCATGGGAATGGTGTAAATTATACACTGAACATCATCAATATAATATTATATCGTTTTTCGTTTTTTGCCATGGAGTTGTCAGTTTGTCTTCGACTTGTGAGTTTGAATATCCCTTTTATATCTTCTGCCTCTCTTTTAAGTACTTAAATTTTCGTCTGCTATTTGTCTTACATAAAATAAAGATGAAATGCCAACGTTTTATATTTGTTTGTTATCAAAGTTCTATAAGTAGCAATGCCTGTGGTTAGCTTTGGAGAACAGTTTTTTTTGTATTCCAGTAACCCATTGTGACGTTCACTAAATTAAGGGATATAATTAAAATTAATTGACAAGAATTATTATGAAATTAACTTACTTGACATCCGAAGAAGTAGTTTATGTCATTTATTTACGTGATTGGAAAATATGTTTTCCTAGAACGAACTAATCAACACATTTTAATAAAGTGGTAAAATTCATGTACATAAGACTATCGTACACGTTGGTTCTAACTATTTACTTGTCTTTAAACTGTTATGAGCTTTATTAAGACTAATAATTTGTTTTTATATTGGTACATGCCCTTAAAAATACCGTGACATAGTAACTCAGTATGAACTGAACTGATTTGATAAAATGTAGGTATATTTCCACCAAAAAATGCTTCATAAATGCTTTAAATGTCTTGTTCTCTGTATTTTGCAGTGTTTCCTTTTATATATTTGAATAAATGTTTTTATTTCATTCAGGACACTGCATCAAAAACGCCGTAGACCGTTTATTTTCACTTTGTCAGTCATTCTGTCCATCCATCGTGTCTTGCTAACACTTACTTTTTATCTAATTTGAGATGTATTAATTGTATATAAGTTTTATCATTTTGAATTTAGAATAGTTTTCTTTTAAAAAAAGACAGAACTCTTATTTCATAAGGATGGCTAAAACAAAATGAAAGGTCAGATATTGGGAAAATGACAAAAAGACATCGAGGCCTACACGTAACATTTGGAATTCAGACTTGTAAATCAACATGACGTTGCACATGACGTTGAATAAAATTCTGAAACGCTTATGGGCCTATTAAAGTGATGAAGTGGTCAATATTAAGTACATACTTTCATAAATCTTGAAAAAAACAAATACCAACAATAACAATTTGCTTGCAATCATTTATCATCAATTTCTTCATCTGTTTTCTGGGCGATGAGTTTCAGAATTTTATTCAAAATTATGTTCAACGTAATGTTGATTCACTAGTCTGGATTTCCACGTTTCAGAATTCAGTGGTTGTCGTTTGTTGCTGTGTATCATATTTGTTTTTCGTTCATTATTTTGTACATAAATTAGGGCGTTAATTTTCACGTTTGAATTGTTTTACATTTGTCATTTCGGGGCCTTTTATAGCTGACTATGCGGTATGAGTTTTGCTCCTAGTTGAAGGCCGTTCTGTGACCAATAGTTGTTACTTTCTGTGCCATTTAGTCTCTTGTGGAGAGTTGTCTCATTGGCAATCATACCACATCTTCTTAATTTTATAGTGGCCTATTAAGTGACCAAGTCGTCAATATCAAGTACCTACTTTCATTAGTCTTTACAAAAACAAATACCAACAATAACAATTTGTTAGCCTTTAATATGTTTTCTGCATTTGTTTTCAATCATTTATCACAAATTTCTCTTCATCTGTTTTCTGGATGAAGCATATCAGAATTTTATTCAACGTCATATTGCTTTTACAAAAGGACGTAACACTGCTACTAACCGTGTATTAAAATATAACACGCCCACTAACCCAACATTATATATACAGGGTCTTCACGTGTTCGCTTTGAAACAATGATAATCTTAGAAATGTATAGGAGGTAAGATAATAGGGTATATTGGCATTAATATTTTGCGTAGAGAAAACCTTTATCCGTGTTAAACAAAAGAGTTCGATTAGAGATGGCGAAGAATCGGTCGTCAATTTTGAGTTTTCCTTTATTATTTCAGATTGGATATTGATATTTTGAGTGTGCGTTGATTTTAAGCAGGACGTCGATCTGTGTACGACATTTATATTTAACAGTTTTCTTGAGGAAAGCTCTCTTACAATTTTATTTGGACACATCCTTTTGCAGATTTCTGAAATGTCGTTCTAGAGTTAATTGATTTTAATCGTACAAAAAAAAAAAAAAAATAAATAAAAAACATAAGATTTATAAGCAGCAGCTCTCCTTTTGTATGACTTAAATTATACGAAATGGAAGCAGAGGGTAACCAATACGTGAAAAGTAAAATAACAAAAATACCGAACTCCAAAGAAAATTCAAAACGGAAAGTCCCTTAACAATTGGCAAAATCAAAAGATCAAACACATCAAACGAAAGGGAAACAACTGTCATAATCCTGACTTGGCACAGGCTTTTCCGTATGTAGAAAATGATTGATTAAACCTGGTTTTATAAAAATGCATATCCCGATTTTGGATCCGTCATTTTGAAAATCGATAAATTACTTTTGCATCTTATTTGATTGATATCGTATTATTAGACTGAAGAATCTAAGTATTGCTTATTGTTTTTTAAAAAACATTTTAATGATATTTTCATTTTATATTTAAGTACTGTATGTATAATAAAAACTCTAAAAAGATCACAGACAGACTCAAAATGTCCTAAACATATTTACGATTTTGAGAAAAGTTATACAACTAAAAGTGTACCTTGTGTGAACGATGTTATTCAATTCCTATCAAAATTTAAACTATTCGAGAATACTTAAGTTTAATTTTTATGCATTTTGAGCTTTATATAGCTGTGAGAGGAGAAAATAAGCCAGATGCTATTTCGAACATGCATTTCTTCACGATGAAGGGTGAATACACTTGCTTTCAACCTTGATCTGATGTTATCGTGCAAATCAAATACGACTTTGAATTTGGTATCTTTACGAAATATCAGCGAAATTTGACCTAAAGATATATAAACATGAAAAAAATAAGCATGTCTTAGGTGAGGAGGAAGTGAGATAGGGGCCTTATTTTGCTCCTGAAATTGCCAAAAAAAAAATCCTTTCAGAATCATTTTACTTTATTAATTTTCACAATTTTCATTCGTAACGCCTGTGACATAACGTAAAATGATAACAAAAATGACAAATTTGACCATAGGTGGTTTTGGTGTAATCAACAGTCTTACTCACAGAATATTTTACTAATAATAAAATCTGTATTAAAATCATCATCATCATCATCATCATCATCATCATCATCATCATCATCATCATCATAAATTAGAAACAAATATATTGAATTTGAAATTCAATGGGTAAAACTGTGGCATAACTGAAAGTTATTTTTTTTCTACGCAATTCATTTTAAGCTAGTCTTACTATTTGGCGCATAACACATATGATTATTTCGTCTTTTATAAAGATGTTGAATTTTAGGCAAATATAGCTATTGATATAGGACTCGCTCCTTTCCCTCCAGGACACATGAATTTTATTTTCATTGATTTTAGGTAAACCTAGCCTACTTTTTTGGTAACATTTTATATGTGTATGAACATTGCATTTAAGAATGGCAAATAAAGCCGGGTATAATTTATTTTTTGAACATTAACAGTTTAATAACAGAATTCAAGTAATAAAAATACAATATTAAGGTCAACATGGACTTTGCTGATCAGCACAATATGAAATAAATCATCTAAGTCTACTTACCTTTTAATATTTCTGTAACATACTATTAAAAGCGCAGACTTTGAAGGAGTGCTGATAATACGGCGATGCAAAAGAAATCAAATGGCGAGTATACGTATATTTTAGATGACAATGATTCTTATTTTATGCTTCTATAGCTGGGAAACATCAGATGACTACGGAGATGACATAGACAAGTTAAATGAACAAAGGTAAGTGTCTTTGCGATGAAATAAAGAGTCGGAGTACAAATTTATTACACAAAACGGACTTTGCTAATTTGAACATAAGTGCACAATTACCAAGCTCCAATTTAAGGTAAATTAAAAGACGGGAAGTCAATAAAAACTGGAAAAAACAAAAAATGTTCTACTATGTCAATCAAGGGAACAACTGGAAAACAACTGTCATATTCCTGACTTGGTACATGCATTTTCTTAAGAAATGATGAATGAAACCTGGTTTTACAGCAAGCGAAACCTCCTACAATTGACTATATTACCATTATACTAACAAAAATAGCGTGACCAACCCAAAGAGACATACTTGAATTACGTGACAAGAAATGTCTGATTGTAGCAATTCGAGTGTACATCGAAAAAAAGTTATCTTACAGGTATTAGTGAAATTTCTTTTGTCTAATTGTCTAATACATATTTTTTCCAAGGAAATACATTGAGCTGATGGAACAACGCTATGATAAAGCTCAAACAGAAAGAGAATCATCTATATCCAATTTGGATCAAGAAGTTCATAACATTTTAGTGACTTTGGGTGATATAAAAGATCGAATACACCAGGTAATATGATATCAAAATGTTTTTGAAACATCAATAATCCAATAATGCGGCATATATCTACTGGTGACCTTATGACCTTTAATGACCGACAACTATTACCTTTAGAATTATAATTGTCGTCGGATTGCCGTTTCATTGATGTATACCGAAATCAATAATTCATATTCAGAGTGACATTTCAATTCGAAACCAATCTGAAACTAGAAAAGTTTAAAGTGCATTAATAAGATATCTAAAATATCAGAAGCATTCAAGTTATACCAAAAATCACTAACGGAATCTTAACAATGTATACACTCTGGTCTTCATGTATTTGTACAGCTCTACCTGATTTGTTTTAAATTTCTTCGCCTTCGAGAATCATTAAGGAGACGTTACTTGTTATCCGGAGCTCCACGTTTTAAATGGTTAAATATTTAAGGAACAGGAACGTAAATTTTAAAGAGTCTTCCTTTTGGAAGAATTAAAATCAAAACACATTTATCTACATTTGCAAATATTGAAGAAATCATTGGAGCCATAATCATATTCGTTCTTTGAAACATGATCAATATAAAATACATTTTAAATTATATTTTTCTATCAAGGACAATATGCAAAATACAAAATATGGAAAAGGTATGAAAAAATTAACTGATGACCACATGAAGGCAAAAGATGCAATTTTACAGGTATGTATTTTCAGTAAAATTTGAAATAGAGAAAAACTCACAGCATAGATTTATTTTGGAAATGATTACAACAGTCTTGTGTATACAACACGCCGCTGGTTCGGTAGAAAAAAATCACTAGCCTAGTGTCGTTAATGGGATTTTACAACAACTTTGTCGATGCCAAAGCTGATGGACGGTTTAGTCCAAAAGGTGTCGCCAGCCTTGTAGTTTCCACTTCTATGTGGAATGAAATATCATTGATACGCTTATGTTTTTAATTCCTGTATAATAAATGTTGAATCGTTCTAAATACGTTTTATTTCCAATTGGATAAAGATGGCCTTAGCCAGATTTGGCATACTGTTTTGGGAATTTTCTTGTTTTCAGTGCTCTGTATAGACGGAACATGATCTTGCATACTTAGTTACAAGCCTGGTATTTTTGTTTTTTTTAATGTTTAGCAGGAATCACATTCAGACATTAGATAAATGTATAAATATTTCAAAAAAGTTAAATGCTCCTTTATGTTAAATACCTAGGAAATAACAAAACTGAAGTCAGACCTTGAGTTTACCATGAAGTCCTTGGATGATGAGATACTAATTCTAGAACAGAAGGAAAATGATCTTGTCATTTCACAAATAACTCTTCAAACAAATGTTCATTCTAAAATGGACTATCTATTGAAGAGCAAAGGAAAGGTAAGATTAAACATACCTATCCATTCGCCTTTCATTGTTATCTATGTACCCTATATTGATTAATAAATAATGTCCTTTTTCAACGGTCTTTCCTCAAAATGATGAATCGAAAAGATAGACGTTTCAGAGTATATGCCTAACATAAATACTACATCGGCAATTATTCAGAAGTAAGAGGTACATCGTTTTATGAAAATACTGATAAAAGCAAACCATAACAACCCCTTAGTTGCATATGTAAAGGAACAGAAGTAATGTTTTTACGATGTGTTTTTATCTCGGCAAAAGCATATGATAAGAGGTGAACAGTTTAAATGAAGATTTGCAATCCGTCAACATAAAAACAGAATAAAATTGGTAAAACATAAAGTATATCCTTCCAATTATTACATTACAATGTTTGGATGATTAAATGTTAATGGGAATATGAAGCAAGCTATTTGAAGAAAAAATAGAAGTAGCACTTCATGTACTTCGGCATTACAATGAGCGCCTATGCAAATCATCTCTCGCTTTATACTTAATACAGAACATGAAAGATTTAGAAGAATCAGATAAGGATTTACAAAAACTAGAACAATGTTTCAAAGAAGAAAAGGCAAAAATTGCCTCTAATTCTGATGTTAATGAACGAATACTAAGAGAACTAGAGCAACAGGAACAAAAAATACAAACGGATGTCGATATAGAATTAAAATTACTACGGGATAAACGTACTAGGGCGGAATCTACTAAGGCGTCTGAAATGAGAAAAATAGATGAGGCATGGCAAGATATCCGTGAACATGAGCAACAAATTAGTGAACAGAAAATGCGTGGCTTGAACCAAACAGAAAAGTCTAAACTTTTGCAAAAGCAAACACATATTAATGAAGCAAAAGAACTTTTAATACAAGAACAGGAAGCTATTTCTAAGGACCATACAGAAGTCATGAAACAGATAGAAAAAGAGGAAAAGAAAATTGATCTGAAAAGACATAAATTAATAGAGGAATTTCAACTGAAAAAGCAGAATGTTTTATCTACAATTAGTCCTAAGCTTACCAAAATCAATAACAAAATATATATAAAAAAGAAAGATCTCGATGATCTGGACAGTACCATTCAAAATTGGGAAAAAGAACTAGAAAATCTAGAAGGGATGCTAAGCATGTCAACCGACAGCTGCACTAAACAGCAACATGGGATTGCAGAAGAGACACTTAATAAGAAGGAAAAGCGTGATCTGAAGGAACAAGAACTAAAATCAAAGTTATCAGATCTAGAGTCTAGACTTGATGTGCTAAATAAAGAATTCAACGAGTCATCAGAAAAACTTAAATGTGATCTTAAGTAAGTAGATGTATAAATATAATAACGGAAAAACAAATATCTTTTAAATGCTTTCTTTAGACCACGATTGGCCTTACCAACCCTGTCCAAATCAACTTACCTGTGAGCAAGATGCTACTGAAAATTCACAATAACCACTTCATATTTAAATCATGCAAGTGCCAAAGCATCGAATAAGACATCATGTGATCTCATTTTACAACATTGAAATCGCGTGGTTATTCAAGTTCATACAAGTGTCTGGTCAGGCATCTTTGAATGCACACTGATGAATATTTTACTTACAAAACTGCCAACAAAACATTACCCCAAGAATGTTATACCCCACTAATGAGTTGACGGAAATATACAATAGTCTAATTCGTCCAATGAACCTTAACACTAATCACATATTTCCAACCTTGAGTCGTAAGGAAGTATTTGATATATTGTCTGTAACTAAATAATGTTGAGTTATATAGTGTGAGTGATTATGAGATTTTCCAATCCTACTATGTGGTATTTTGATTTTTTATTTTACCCAGTAGACATAGAACTGTCGGTCAATATTAAATAACGACTAGGATATATTTTGCATGACATCGCGCCAATCTTTTGCTAATTCTAAACAGGGATTTATCTCTCGTACAAAAATGTATCCAAATTAATTAAGGCCAGTGAACAGCATATAGTAGAAAATTTGATTTCAAGTAAGTTAAAGAATTTTACAACAGATTTGTCTATTGAAAATTCGATTGTTGACCTTACGATATCTTGTCTGTGCTTTTTGGACTGCTGTTTTATTGGTGTTTATTGCGTAAACATAAATATATACATATAAACTTTATAATGTCTCCAAGTTTGATGTCTTATTCATTCCAACAAATCTATATGATGTTCTATAAAAGAAATTCGAAGATTTAAAATCTATTAATACCAGAAAGTGAGATTGTTACAGATAATTAACGATATCCTAAAATTTGACTGAACAAATTGATCATGCATTTTCATTTTTATCTTGAAAATATCCTTAAGAATCCTTAGCTGAATAGGAGAAACAAAAAATGTTGTTGTTTCGCGTTGTCTTCTGTCGTTGCAAAAATACATAATCAAAGAAGCCAAATGCATTTCTGAAATAATTTTGTCATTTTTCAGTTTTCCATCCCACCAAGGGTACAGTGATAAAACTTCAAGTCACCTGAAGCAAGAGGTATACATATAAATTAATAAATAAGATATGCTGCAACTTCTCATTCTATTTTGTTCACATACAATGTACATTGAAAATCTATCGAAACCGATTCATGCTTTGACCCTGAAATTGTACACAGTAAATTCACAAAAGCAAGACACAAAACAAATTATCTATAAAATTAACATATCTTAGCTGAAAAAAAAGTCTAATTCAACCTGAATTTATAGTATTTTGTGGTGAGGTTTAGACAGATTTCATTGAAATTTTCATTAATTTCAGCTTTCACCATTATTATAAAAAAGTTTATCTTCTCGTACGCCAAAGAATTTATTTTCTTCAATCATTTTTTTTTAAATTCATATGCTGCTTCTAGTAATTTATGATTATAAATACATATTATAAATTTTGAAATTGAAGGGGTTCTAAACAGTTTCTGCTATAAGTATATAATGCTTATAAAATCGATGTGATTGAAAGTATTTGAGCCATGAATATAAGATATCTTAATTTTCAGTGTTAATTATTTGCTTTAATTATGTTATCAATCGTGTGTGCATTGTTTGGGTATTACAATCAATAACGTGTATACATTTTGTACAGGAGATTACAAAATTTCAAGAGCTATATGATAAAAAACATTCAAATTTATTAATTCTCAAACAACAAGCTGAGGAACAACAAGATAGAGAATTCGAATCGTTGGAACTTGAAATCATGAAACTAGAAGAAATACAAAATCAGGCCAGGTATGTTTTTATGCAGTCATGAAGAATTTTGTGTTTGGTGGAAAGGCTTAGAGTCGCTTATAATTATTTTTGTCAATTTGGTGCGATTTGGATTCTCCTTTGGCGATTGGGATGCGAGAGGAGACAATTTCTAAACACTTGTTATTAAATATATTTCATTCGTTTATCTGTCATATTTGCAGTATGTAGAGCAGAAGATATAGCAAGTCCCTTGAATTTGAAATTCTGTATATCTATCAAATAGCATCCATAAGATGTTTGCGAGACAAGTATGTTTAAGAAGTCTTCGTATTTGATTTGACCTTTTAACTGTGATGATTTGAACGCTACTGATAAGTCTTATGTAGACGAAACGCGCATTTGTCGTACCAAATTATAAGCCTTGTATTTGTGATTAGTTTATGCGAAGATGTTAATGTGAGTAAAATATTTTTTGGTGCAAGACATCGTGTCATTTTTTATTTAGCAAGCATCTTAATTGACCATTTAAGATCTATTTCAACTTTTTTATGAAGTCATGAAAGGTCTGGATGATATCTACCTATTCAGTTATTGAAAAATCATTATTTTGTTTAATTTTAATGTGCCAGATAATGACTCTAAGCATACCTCCTCTTTATATGAGACTTAAAATAGTTGAAAAATATAACAATGAGAATTTTACCAAAAAATTTATGCATTCTGACGAAATATGTTAAATGGCAAATGAACAGAAGCAGACATAAGAATTTGTATGATATCCTCTTCAATAAGTGGAAGCGTATTTTTGGTGTCAATGTAAATTTTCAAAAACCTAATTCCAATACCATAAGCTTGTATAATGTGATTTGCTATTTTAAAGATATTAGTTGGGTTTTTTTTCTAAGAGGACACCAACTATCTGTTGTGAAGGTAGTAGAGTAACTTTGGTGCCTTTATTGTAATAAAAATTGAGTCTAAAAGTTTTGCCAAATACAGCTAAGGAATTTAGAAATAAAATTTCTCTAAAAACAGTCATTTTGGTTCGACTTCGTCAATATTCTTATAAAACATCGCTGATGTATTATTGGCTTGAAAATTAATAGTTCAACCTCATTTGAACCCCTATTCATGCAACCTTTAATTTGACCTTTATGGTGATGGGTTGCTTATGTTTTTATCATGTGGTTCATCCATTAAAAAAAGAAAAGAATGTAAACATTGAAATGTGAAACAAGGGAGAAACCAGGAATAATCATTTGGTCGACTGATCCGGTCCTCAAAAAATCATTTGTATACAAGGAATACGAAGATATACATATATTTTAATCTATAACATGAAATCAAACAGATCTATACAAATCTTCATTATACGATTGCACGTGCTTGCCTGTATATTTATATTTATATCGGATTAACTGATCGTCGACAGTCTTCGGAGGTCATCTAGGGAATCTCGATGGATGATTAGATGACATACGTAGTCTAAAAAACGAACGAAATACTGATACATAATGACGAAGACATGCATTGTGTATTGTTTCTTGCTGGACTTTTTGTAACTTGTGAATATACGTTTTAATATGTTATTAATCAAATAAGAAAATTGGGCAAATCGGTGAACATAAATTTGACAGCGTATGTGCCTTTATTATTTTTACGGGAAATAAAACCTTTTGCTTACTATTACAAAAAAAAACAGAGCCAAAAAATTAAAAAAACAAACAAAAAAACTATTTTATATTTGATAATATGGCAGATCAAAGGAGCAGAACAATTACAGATATAATCAAAGTGTACAATGATTATGGTGAATTTTGTCCATTAGAAAAATAATGAATAAAGTCAAGCGGGAGACTAATAATCATTTTAAGTTGACCTGACTAAAACAGATGAATTGCACAACTGATTAAAATCAAAACGATGCATTTGCATAGCAGTCATTTATATTATTTGCATAATGTTTCAGAATAGATCAAGAGGTGAAACGTCGACTACGGGATGTTCGACAAAATAAGTGAGTTTTAACGATTAATTATCTAAAAACTTAGGTGGACTCTAATAGTTGGCCCTGCTATTTATAAGGTCTTATCAAACACATTTGTGTAATGATTTTGAAATTTCCGTTGTCGTTCATATTTTGCATACCATCAAAATATTTAGAATATGTTTGTTAAAGCGACTACATTTTGTAATAATAATATCGTGATACATTGCTACCATAATCCTTTATACTGATGCTCCTAGTAAGGTTATATGACAATTTCTTAACGATATGATATATATTGTTAAAATTAAACCATGTGCTTTCAGTTTAATCTGAAAGGGATGCTTATCATGTAACACGACAACACTATCCACCCTTGGCTAAATTGATTTAAATAAATCAAATTTTCAATCTATTTTCTTACATATATCTTCTGTATTCCTTGTTAGAACACATATACATATTTTCATAAAATTCCGTGTTGTACAGTCAATTCTCAAAGGGAGTGTTGGAAGGACGTATAAATCTCCTGAGCATATTGATATATACATTCCTTTACAAAGAACTATTTGTAAAAACTATATTGTAACGGGATATCGGGGTTGTCTAGTTCAGTTATCGTTATAATTCAACCTGGTTTTAAAATTTTAACTAAGTTCCTTTGTATTGAAATAATCTAATAAAAGATTCTTAACGCACAGTGCAAGAAATTTATTTCAGTATCTAAAAATTGTGCATGGCTTTTTTTATTCCAATTATTACTATACTTCAATGGAAAGATGTGGGCCAAGTTTCCCACAATTTATTTTTGGTTTGGAGCGATTAAAAAAATATCAGAGAAAAACAGTTATATTTGTGTGTACTATTATGTTTAAACAGTATTATTTGGTATAACTGAACATATGCTCATACAAGTAAAAATGCCCATAGATAGTTCAAAAGAAAGTTTGAAATATTTTGGTTAAAATAGAGTATTTGTGTGATTAAATCGTTTGATTTTTGAAGAAAATAAAATGCCAATATAAAATTGAAAAAAAAACAAATCATACATTGCACAATTAGTCATTACAACAATTGTTCGATGGGTAACATCATGTTTGACCAAACATCCTTTCTTTCGATTCAGGAAGCTTTGCTAATTTAAAATTTGAATTCAGTGTCATCGCTACATATATAAAATAGTTCTATCTTGTACTATAGCCAACATCATTATCATTGAATTCTAAATTTGGATATAATTGTAATTTAATGTAAACTTTCCTGTCGACATAAAAGGAAACCAAAATCTAACATAATACCTATATATTTAGGGCTACCAAGAGACGGAATTATGAAAGTTTTGCAAGTTTAGAAACAGATTACAATATTGTGAGTTAAATTAGTTATCAAGATATGATATAAAGGCAACAGGAGTTTACCGATGTTCAAATCTCATAAATCAATTGAGAAGACAAATAGAAGTAACGAACAAAAACTGAGAGAATTGCATGAACTCCAAAAAGAAGCGAGGCCGGGTAAGTCGACAGAGTAAGCCTCTCTTGCATCACCCCCATGCGAATCCACAAACAGTCAATTGTCACAATCTGGAATAGGCCACAATGGGTAAAATTGCAGATTAGACGACTATTCTGGTATCAGAAGAAAGAAAGTATTTGTATTGAGCGTGACATTTAAACTTATCGCTTTGTAAAGGTTGACTATCTATTTTTTATAGATAGGTCTCCACACACTGACGACATGTTTTCGCATTGTAGAATCCAGAAAAGTGGTCCGATTTGTATGTTTATCAATTAAGTTCTATTCATGATAGTGACATTTTGACAAAGTGTTGATTATTATGGCAGGTGATGTATGTAAATCAGTAAACGATTACCCAGTCGAGTGCCTGGTTTTTTCTTCTTTTGCAGTTCAAGCGATTCTTTTTTTGTTTTTAATTTTTACCTTTTGTTTCTTTTACCCGGATTTATGAGATTTGAATGTCGTTTAATTACTGTTGCATCTAATTCTCAAGCCACAGCTTTTTAATATACAAGTTTGAATACCGAGCACGTATAGTATTCTGAAACAGTGATTTGCCATCAAAACTACAACTAAAGAAAATAATCCTCATATTCCATCGTTACACCAGAAATACGGCACCAAAATTGGCTGTATTTTGCGTATGACAATATTTCCAGATCTAAAGATCGTTATTGAGGCCAAAATTGTTTGTAATTGATGGCGGCGAACCTTTAAATAAATACACAGAATTATAAAAGTCTATGGTATTGTGTTCAAAATAACTCTTCGGTATGAACAAAGTGCAAGCGGAAAGGTAATAGTTTATTGGGAATCAATTTAAACTAAATAACCTAAAACTATAAAATATTGCTTTCATTGATTACTTAAAATAGTCAATTGAATAATATGTCTGATAGAAGATTTGTGAACATAATCGTATTTTTCTTTTCGGTCTTTCAATTTTTAATGTTTAAACATCCGTACATGCGATGATCATCCATATGATGGATTATTTTCAATCATGAAAAAGCAATATGCACTTTGAGCAAACCAGCTACTTTTTCAAATTCTTTTACAGGATGGTACTTCCCTAGCAAGTAGCACATTAACAAACGTTTCTGGTATAGGAGTGAATGTTTCTTCTTTCAGCCTACGAAATCGTGGTTCCGACAGCTTTTATGAGTTTGAAGTACAGGTATCTATTTTCAGTTTAAATCTTAAAATAACTTTTTTTAGTTCGAATACATGTTTTAAAGGGGTTTTCAGTACTAATGAAATCACAAAGTAAAATCTTCATGACTGATTTCTTTTATAGAAGAGGGACGAAAGATACCAGAGGGACGGTCAAATTCATAGATCGAAAACAAACTGACAACGCCATGGCCAAAAATAAAAAGAAAAACAGACAAATAATAGTACAGATGACACAACATAGAAAACTAAAGACTAAGCAACACGAACCCCACCAAAAACTGGGGGTGATCTCAGGTGCTCCGGAAGGGTAAGCATATCCTGCTCCACATGTGGCACCCGTCGTGTTGCTTATGTTATTACAAATCCGGTAAATAGTCTAATTCGGTAGGTCACATTCGTGAAAAGGAAAGGGTATTGTAGTAACGACATGAGGAACATATCCGATATCATCTGTGAAACGGTTATAGATATATCAGTCTTTTTTTTTAAATATAACAATTGATATTGACATAATTCTATTAAAATGTACTTAATGCTAGATTTTGAATCAAAGACACAAATTAATGTATATTATTTTCGACAAAAGCAAAGGTCACTAAATAAACTAAAATTTTACTAGATTCACAGTTTTTGCAGTGAATAAAACTTTCAATAATGTTATAACTAATACCACGAATTCTTTAATGATGCATTTAAAACAGGAATACACACGAAGACACATCCACATAGTAAAACAAAGGAGCATCGTGGTCTTTTAAATATAATAATATGCCTTCAATCTTTTTGTAAGTTATTAATAAACGTTATGTACCAGTTTCTGAGAAATGTAACTATTGATAACTCTTTACAGCTTGTAATTGGGAAAGATAATTGGACAGTTTACAGGCGTTATAGTAAGTTTCGAGAAATGCACAAGGAACTGAGACAAAGAATTCCTAAGGCAAGTATTACAAACTTAAATATGATGTTATTTAAAAATACAATAACCGAGAGGTCGTTCATGACATTAACTATGAATTGCATTGACACACATATACATTTAGCTTTATGATGTTCCCTTTTTGTTTCATGACATTATTTTACAATAAAAATGCAATCAAGAAAAGAACAAAGACAAATGATCAACATAATCTTTAGTGTTCAAAGTTATAAATTATATTTATATACTTCTCATGTTCTATATACACATACTACATATCACCAGTCAAAGTTCAAAATGATCCGGGCATCCCACACTCAATTTCTGTCAACCCTAATTTAAAACATGGATAAAATAAGATTATAAAGTTTGCCTCGTCTCATTCCGTGATTAACATTTTAAATTGAAAGTATAATGGGAGATCAGAGCATATGTAAAATTTCGTCTTTTTGAAAAATGAAAATAGGTTACCAAAACCAAATTCTATTGATAGCGACAAGAAAGGATTCAGTTAAATCACAATCTTTTCATAACAAAAAATGTTGAAATGAAGCTCATAGTGAACTCTTTTTTCGGCGGGTTGAATGATTAATTCAATTATGTGCACAGTAAACGAGTAAAAATAACTTGATACAAGAAACTGAACTTGGGCGTAACATCAGTGAATCATGAAATGTAGGTTAGAATGACTTACATTTGTGGCAAATTGTTTGTAATTGGTTTTCCAGATGCATCCTCACAGCAAGTTATATGGATGTTTCTCATTTGGTCTTCGAGACTTGCATTTTAAAGGCTTGATACTTTTAGTGTCGGTATTTTATGTTATTATTATATGGAAGCAAAAGGGGAAAACTCTTGACTCCAAGAACAACGTCACATTTGTTAATTTTTTTTAGACATGAAATGCATTTATTTAAAAACACCTGAATATATTTTACCCTGTATATTGCAGTGGAGTATACACAAGGGGCCCTAACAAATGGTTAATTGCTTAAAAAAAATCTGTTCATCTCATGTGCTTCTTGCAATTTCTTGCAGGATTTTTTTAATGAAATCATTGCAGACTGGTACATCTAGAAATAGGGTTGTCATTTTTAAAGACAGAGATGTCACAAGTTGTCCAAAATTTTATTTATATGAGGAACGATTAAGTTTGGGACAATGAAGAAGCGAGAAATTTTGTATTTTCAAGCTCATAAAATTATTTTTATATACAATCTGTTTCTCCTTGTACTCATTTGTTATAATATTTTTAAAAAAGTGAAAAAAAATAAAACACATCTTGCTAGTTTTTCAGTCGTTATAAAAAAATTATTTCGACATTTTAATTTTAGATGCGCAAGATTAATTTCCCACCAAAAAAGATATTTACTAAATCAGAGAAGATTCTTGAACAAAGAAAAAAGCAGCTTGAGGTAACACATTGTAATTTTTAACATAATATGAACTAACAGGAAGTAGATATATGCATGTTATTACCTATGTTAAAAGGTGAATAAAAATGATAAATAGGGTAAATTACAAGGATGAAATTGAACAAAGGTAACTTGATTTAGAAGAACAGCAAACAATTTTAACTTAACCTTTTGAAAAAAGAAGATCAATTGGTATTTTGGCATCGGACAGCTGCTCATTTCGTGTTTCGATTGTGACACTTACGCATGAAATTTATAAAGTGTTGATTTCATTTTTACTGCAGTCGGTAAAAGTTCAAATTGACAAAAGATCGTGAAACACTACTTTCAACAGTATCACTGAAAATTATCAACTACACGTAGTTTGTAAAAACAAAATGTTTCATTCTTCTTTTTCAAACCTTGGTTTACGTGACCGACTATCTAAAGTGGTTACGATTGGCGATGAGTAATTCCGTCTTCTTACAATACAACCAATTGAACATTAAAAAAGGATGACTATCATTGCGTTTGACATATCTTAGATAGACATCATAATATTAAATGAGTGCACAGTGAAATTATGTGTTGGCAGAGTGTCGTATTTAACATCTAGGGAATGGTAAACGGGTACAGCGATTTTGTAACATATTATTTTAATTAACCAATTTAATTTAAGGAAAAATTAAAACAAAAAAAGGTATTCATTGGCGGAAGTTCCATTTAAGTCTTTTCAATCCTATTACCCCATAAACTTTAAAACTGGATGATTGCTATTTACAAAACGCACAACAAATTCTTTATTTATTACGACTAATGATTGTCAAATCTGAATCAGTAATGTAAAGAACAAAACTCTGAACAGTCCTAAATAAGATTTTAACGAAGGGTTTCTGTCCCTTTGGTACTGTTATACGTCAGAAACAATACACGTATCAAATCCAATAAAATATGCCATTTTGTTCATTAAATGGTTTAAAAACGCATCAACTTTCATCACTCTATGTTAAACAAGTGAACATTTATTATTTGTTTGCAAACCATGTAGATAAAATTTATTTTTGCAAACCATGTAAATAAATGCCACAGATCTGTTTTCGTTTTAAAAAATTACAATTATAAGTTGTTCGTTTGAGGGCTTCATTATGCATTTACGTCTTAGTATTTAGGGAAGTTTATAACAATGAATTCTGTAATAATTTTTTTTGTGTTTAACACAAATCTCAGACTTTGGCTATATCAGGCACTTCAGTTTTTATTGGTGTAGGATAACTGTAATATGTCTAGATAACAACGGAAGTTCGGCAGGAATTCTAAAATAGCGATGGGAAATGTAAACAACAAATCGTCAAGTTTGATAACAAAACTTATTCACATTACTTGTCCCATAAGATAATTCAATTTTCAAATACAAATGAATTTAAATTTTAGTCGAACTGCATTACTCATAGCGTACAAGTAGTTGATGATAAATATAAAAAAAAAGAAGATGTGGTATGATTAACAATGAGACAACTCACCACATGAGACCAAATGACACAGAAATTAACAACTATAGGTCATCGTACGGCCTTCAACAATGAGTAAAATCCATACCGCATAGTCAGTTGTTAAAGGCCCCGAAATGAAAAATGTAAAACAATTCAAACAAGAAAACTAACGGCCTGATTTATGTACAAAATAATGAACGAAAAACAAATATGATATACAGCAACAAACGACAGCCACTGAATTACAGGCTCCTGACTTGGGACAGGCGCATACAGAATGTTGCGAGTTTAAACTAGTTTGAAGGCGCCAACCCTCCCCTTAACCTGGGACAGTGGTGTAACAGATCAACATAAGAACAAACTATGAAAAATAGTTGAAAAGGGCTTAACTCATCAGATGGAAAAAAGCAGAAATACATCAAACAAAAACACAGAGTGGACGTGACAGGGTACCTTTACATCCCTTCAACAAAACGACACTAAGATCCGAGAGTACTCGCAGTTACTGACAGCTAGTTCAAAGCCAATAACAACTAATAAAAAGAATCATGCATCTAAGACTAAAATATCAATCAGTACACATCCAACATCCAATGGATTTAGTGTAAAGACGTCAATAACAGTCGGAGAAAAAAACATAATAGTTATCAAAGGTACCAGGATTATAATTTAATACGCCAGACGCGCGTTTCGTCTACATAAGACTTATCAGTGACGCTCAGATCAAAATAGTTATAAAGCCAAACAAGTACAAAGTTGAAGAGCATTGACCTTGTGCAATGCATAGATAAAGGTATCGACAGATTGTAGAGCCATGCATGTGTATATGTATATAAGAATAATATTTAGTTTGATTTTAATTTACTGATTACAAAATCAATATTAATACCAATAAAAACAATATTCAAAGATCTAATTATAGTGTTGAATTGGTAACCTTTTAAAATAAGTTTATTTAAAGGATCGATAAGTTTACCCGGGCTCGGTAAATAAGTTTATCTTATATTAATACAAACTTAAGATTTATCTTTTTATGTGTGTTTGGATTTGTATTTTGTATTTTTTCAATTTTTTTGTTATTTGTTGTTAGAGAAAGGCATGTAAAAAAAATACTCATTAATATTCTCTGACATTCATTACTATCTAATTCACAGGTTTACCTGCAAAATGTTCTTGAAGTCTTCATTAAAACCCCGTGGTGTCCATTACATCCACTGCAAAATAAAGACCTGAATATGAAATTGCTGTGTGACTTCGAGCCTTTTTTTAAAAGGGGTCTATTTGAACGACCAACGAATACACCAGAAAATCGATGAGGAAATGGTCGTAGGATATGTAAAAATGTATTATGTTTGATGGTTTGCAATTTAAAATGTTATTCAAAATCTAGTTTAAAAAAGTAGTTTTATTTACCAATTCTGTGTGATGTCATTGGTATTGACAGGAAGTGCCATTGGCGACAGTAGTACAATTTTACGAGATACAGACTTTAGAAAGTTAATTTTCAGAACGAAATTGTCATAGATATTAAAGACAACTTATTATGCTAATATTGTTAAGGCCAGCAAATATGTGCTGTCGTTCTTTTTTGGTATTCACACAATGACCAAACAGGATAAGCCATACTCTTTATTCTGAATAGCATGTAATGTCAATGAATGCGCTCTTATCATGCAATTGTGTATTGTTACGTCCTATATGGTATCTAAGAATATCTAACATCAGGCAATTTATGGTGCATTAGATATTCTCATTTACAAAAATGTCACCTTTATAACAACTTCAGAGCGTTCTCTCTTTACTGTCTGAATTGTTTGGAAAACTAATTAGCTGACGTTACCAAAGTCTTAAATGTGGTATTGTTCAAAAGAACCAAAATATAAAGTCTCATCACCTGGTTTTTGTTGTTGTTTCTTTGTTTCTTTTTGTTTGTGTGCTTGTTGTTTTTTCCAAAAAATACTGCTGGTGTTCATTCTACGATTGGACCCGTATGTCAATGAATTATTGCGACTACAATTCAATTTGAAATTCTGAAATATATGAAAGCGACATATGTAAAAGCATCGAAACACGTGAAGAGCTATATGATCAAAAGAAACATAGAATAAAAGCCAAATTTTTTAAAGGTCAACTTTGTAGGAAGGAGTTTGAACCTTTAGCTTCTAAATGATTTATAAATTCATAAACGGACGATTTGGGAAAAAAATATATTATAAATCATGTCAGTACCGAAACGCTTACTACTGAGCTGATAAAACACATGGGTTAATTTTCTGTAAATTTATTGTTTATAAAGTGTTGAATTATTCGAAACACATTTTATTTTTACAACCAATAAAGATTGCCTCGTCCGTATTTGGCACAGCTTTCCGGAATTATCGATTTTTAATGTTCTTCAATTTCGTATTTTATTTGGCTTTCCAAATGTTTTGATTAGAGCTCTAATGATTATTAAAATGCAGACGAAACGCACATTTGCCGTACAAAATTATAAGACTGATATCATATCTTTGATGAGTTTTTAGACACTATGCATCTTCTGTACATATTATGTTGACATAGATTAAAGGTCACGACCTCTTAGCCTTTTAGGGAAAGTATTCTAGAAAGCATATGATAACCAAATATTTTGCAAATGACAAAGATTTGTGTATTATTGTGATTTAAGTATTTCTTTCTTTAATTTTAACATATTCCAGCTTACATTGACATTTTGTCTAAATTTTAAATAAAGTGACAGTAATTTCATGTCATCACAATACCATAGCCTGGCTTGTGATGAACAATTAAGCATATACTAGCGCACTGTTTCCCGAAAGTACAGAACTCCGACAATTAGAAAGATCTGAGAAACACCCAACATCTGCTATGATATTTCAATTTCATACAACCATCTTATCATCCAAAAAAACTTCTATCAATTGTTTGGCAGTGATCCCAGGCCATTGAACTTTCATCTCGTATATCAATAAGGC